TGTGTGTGTTTGTGTGTGTGCAACAGCTCCCGATGCGATGAAGCATGGTGGCATTTTCAGCATGGCCCAGGAGCCAGGCAGGGATTGCCCAGCAGGACAGACCTGTTTTTTGCGTGATTTCCTTCCCTGTCTATGGGAGAGGGAAGACGAGGGACTGAACACGCTTCCCTGGGAAATTCCCTTTTGTGTTACCCCATCTTGGTGCAATCACGTGTCACAGAGCTGAGCAGTGAGTGGAAAGCCAGGCAGGGTGTGTAGCTTCCTCTGAGACCTCTTGTAAGCAGATTCATACTAGCTTTGGCAATAAGCCGAGATTTTCCTTCATCACGCTTCAGCCAAGATCCTGCCGTCAGAAGCTGCAAGGCCACATCCACCCTAGCATACAAGCAGTACTCCGACGGGCCATGTTCTCCCTGTAATTTTCATGTGCTTGGCAGGTTATCTCCGCAGGAGGCAGGCTGCCCAGGAGCCCATGGAACATGGGCTTGTACTGTCCCAGGGCTCATCCTTCACCTACCAGGACATTTTGGATGAGTTGATCATTTACACTCAGAGTGGCGCGGCAGCACAGACGGATGAGTTTGGATTCTCCATCACGGACGGACTCTACACCCAGCTCGGGAGGCTGGAGTTCTCCATGGAGCTGCAGAAGAATGAGCCACCCAAATTAGCTGTCAACAAGGGCCTGCAGCTTCCTGCTGGTATAATATGAGGAGGGAGGATGGTGTCTCATGCTCAGCCTGCACAAGTCACTGAGTTGGACTGGGTGAAGCCACTGGTTGGTCTTCTCTCTCTGGTGCAGGTTCTGCAGCACGTCTCACAGATCAGCACTTGAAAGTGGCAGCTAATTACTTGGATGACACGAGGGTCAGATTTGTCGTGAAGAAGGATCCCAGTGTCGGCAGTCTGCAGTTGACCAAAACTGATAATCCAGTCCAGATCTCTGTCAAAGGACCAGCCAAAAGTTTCACCCAGGCTGACATAAATAAAGGTGAGTGTGTGCCTGAGTTTAGCTGACCATTGTGTCTAATGGCCAGCTCTAAGTAAAATTTTGCCACATCTTTGTGTCAAGGGCAAGCTGTTTTGAATCAGGGAAGGGAGAGGGAAAGAAGTAAAATAAAGTTTTTATAGTAGGGAAGAAAAACATATCGTAAAGCAAATGCTAAAGCAAATTCTCCAGCAGGAGAAAAAAAGATGAAGAGAACAAGGAATGAAATCTGAGTACTGGAGTCCTGTCAAGCCCCAAGACCCACGGCTATCAGTGCCAGCCTGGTTTGCACTAAGAATGAAATGACACAGCCTGTAATAAACTGCCTCTTCTCCCCTGTCCCTCTCTCCAGGACAAGTGACATACAGTCACAAGAAAGGGGATCCCAGCGGAGATTTTGCTTTCAGCTTTGATGTGATCGATACAGATGGCAACAAACTGACGGACCAGTTTTTCCATATTAGTGTAGTAGGTAAAAGATATTTCTGCAGTTACATTTTCATGGAGTAAGATTTTCATCCCACATGTGTGGCAAGTTAGGATGTGATTCTTGAGATGCAGTTTTTGTTCACCATTCATTCACAAACTGTTGACATTTGGGGCATGGGAAAATTCACTAATACAAGGATTAGTTCTTTGGCTTGTGACATCCTCACTGAAAAAGGTAGGAAAATTCCACTTGGTATCTTAGTACTGTCTAGATATTATAATGTTACCATCCCCTGATTAATGCTGAGGCTCCAAAAACCCATTTGAGAATTACTGGTCTAGGACGGTCCCTTCAGAAGGAGGAGGGTGTATGTTGTGTTTTGCTGGCACACAAGTATCTGATACGAATGATACAAAGAAGAAGAAGACTGACTGTCTCCTAACCCACTTGCTTTTGTACCTGAACTTTTCAGAGGACAGGCTCCCGCCCTCCATCATCGCTAACAAGGGGCTGGTCTTGGACGAGAACTCGGTGAGGAAGATCACGACCCTGCAGCTCTCCGCCACGGACGCGGACAGCGAGCCGGCGCGGCTCCGCTTCCGGCTCACGCGGCAGCCACGGCTGGGGCGCCTGGAGCACGCCGCCTCCCCAGGTCTGCTCCGCAGGGCTTTGCTCTCTTG